TGGGGAAAATAAGCAGAGGAAATGTGATTATTAAGAATGTTTGCCACCTTGTTCTATTTAAAAAAAAGTTGGGATAAAAATCATCATCATCCATAGAACTTCATGACCACCTTGTCTTGGAAAAAATAAAGGACACACCTGAAAAGGGGACAGATCTGAAAGATATTCATAAGAATTTTTTTAAAAAGATTATTTTTTTTAAAAAAAAATTCTTTATAAAATATTTAGGAAAATAAACAGCTAAATACATATAAGGGACATCTTTCTTAATTTCAGAAAGGACTGTCCTTTATAATCATGGATGGATGGTCACTCTATATCAGGGGTCTTTTATGACTTGTGGACTTCAACTCCCACAACTCAGCCAGTCCACAAGTCTTAAAGTTGCCAAGGTTGAGGACCCCTGCACTAGACCAGGGCTTTTCAACCAGTGGTACGGGTACCACCTGTGGTACATTGGCACCTGGCAGGTGGTACGCGACCATCCTAGAAAAGTGGTAGCGGGGGAGGGGAATGAGCTGAACCGGTGGCAGCACCGCACAAGCCTGAGTGAGAGATGGCTGGAGCTGCAGGGCTCAGTGGAAGCGCCAGGATCAGCGCCAGGCTCCAGTTGGAGCTCGGCGCTGATCATGGTGCTTCCGCTGAGCCCAGAAGCGCCAGGATCAGCTGGAATGTTGCAGCATCTCCAGGGTCTTGTGATTTACATTCAGATGCTTGGCAACTGATTCATATTTATGACAGTCACAGTGTCCCAGGGTCATGTGAAGTGACCAAAACCTGCTGCAACCACCCAGCAGATGGGGAGAATAAAAACCAAACACCCCCCACCCCACCCCCGCTGCCAATCCTCAACAGAAATGCTCACAACAATGAAAACCTCGGACAGGAGGAAGAGCGCGGCCGGGTGGGCAGGCAGGTGTCTTGCTCGGCTGTGGCTTGGGGGGCACTTTTTTCACTGCCATTGTAACTTCGAACAGTCACTAAGCGAACTGTTGTAAGTCGAGGACTACCTGTGCTTTATCACTTTTTCCTTTTTTTTTTTTTTTGGGTCATCAAGTTTTTGACCCCTTGCTAGGCGACTGGTGATACTCGGATGTTGCCATATCCTAAAAGTGGTACAATGGGTGAAACGGTTGAAAAGCCCTGATCTAAGCTCCGTTTCACCTTCCCACTAGATTAGTTCCCTTCTGTGCACAAAAGAACGGGCATACGACACCAGTGAGATTAGCGAAAATGTTTAAAAATACTTCAAATAATTGCCGGAAATGTATACGAAGGCCAGGGACCTATTATCCCATCTGGTGGACATGCCCTAAAGCAGACATGTCAAACACAAGGCCCGGGGGCCGGATGCGGCCCGCAAAGTGGTTTCATGTGGCCTGCGAAGCCATCCTGGAAACAGTGAGGGAACGGCCCCCGCTGCCTTGGCCCTGGCTGCATTTCTTGCCTGTTTTTCTCCCTCCCTCATCTCAAATATTTTCCCACCACTCTGTACTTAAGGAAGGAAGGAAGGAAGGAAAGAAGGAGAGGGAGGGTCTGAGGGAAGTCCTGCCTTAGTCCGGTTCTGCTGCCCTTTCACCATCCCCTTGCCCCTCCTCCTGGCCTATCCTGGGGTCTCCCATCCTATTGCTAAGGAAGCTTTGGATACAAAGCCGGATCTCCTACCATGGAGAGGAAATGGGCCTCCCTCTGACTTTGCCCTCGTACCCATCATGAGCAACCTGGCTAAGGAGAGCAAGCAGAGCAGCAGCAGCCTTCAGGAGGAGGTAAGTGCAGCTGGGTGCCCCCTTGGGGAAGTGGGGCTCGGCTTGGTGCCGTGGGTGCTCGAGGGCCAGGCTGGGCATTTGACCTCTGCTGCCCAGGGCTCCGGGCAGCCCGCACCACCATCTAGCCCCCCCACATGGCCTGAGAGGAACGGTGAGGCTCTTCCAGTGGACCATGCCTTGGCACTTGCCCTGGTCCCATCTCCTTCTACCAGAAACCCTCAGATCTGTCCCACTCCTGCCCAGGCCCCCACAGGCACCCTTGATGCGAACGATGTAGAGCTGGCCACGCCCACCCAGTAGGCCGCACCCACCCTGGCCACACACCCCCGTCCCCTCCGAGGGCAACCGCAATGCTGATGCGGCCCTCAATGAAATTGAGTTTGACACCCTTGCCCTAAAGCAAAAAAGTTTTGGGTTAAAATACATATATGGTTGGAGAAGATGACTAAAAATCAGATAGATTTTAAACCAGAATTGTTTTTGTTAGGAATAACAGGAACTAACTATGAGAAGGAGAGCGGATATCTAATACTACATGTACTAACAGTAGCAAGAATCATATTTGCCCAGTATGAAAACTTACCAACTGAAGAAGTATTAATCAAGAAATTTTTAGAATGTGCAGAAATGGATAGATTGACTTTAGAGATTAAAGAGAAAGAAGACTCAGTTTACTTTAGAACATGGGATAACTTTTATCAATGGCTAGAAAAACGAATTAGAGAGAAAGGAATGTGATATGTAATTCTGAATACATATTAGTAAGAAGGATGTTATGGATTGATTAATTAATACTGCCTATGATAATTAATTGTATTTACTATTGTTATCTATTATTATATTAATTATTGTTATTTAAATATATGTACCCAGAAAATATTCTGTTTGCTAAATATTGAAAATGTTACTGGGGGATAACCCCAATCCTGACCCCAACCCCGTCCTAACCCCAACCCTGACACCAACCCCAGCCTAAACCCTAACCCTAATCCCACTTTATACCTAATCCTATAAAATCTAATAAAACTTTTTTTTTAAAGAACTGTACTTCTTCAGCAGGATGCAGAAACACAGATCTGAGCTCTATTCCTGCACCCCATCAGGAGTTCCTTTGTGTACATGGGAGAACAGAATACTCTCTTGCAGAAGGGCGCAAGGCAGCCTCTATAGAAAGGGTGTGCCTCACATTAGCGGGACATGCCTGTCAGCAGTTGCGAAAAAATACAAAGCTGGGTGGAGCAATTTGTGCATGCCGCGGTCAACACTGCTGGATGTTCTTGCTTTGAACATTATGCTTACCCTTAGAATTAGATGATACTGGGAGGATGGGGGGGGAATGTGATGGGAGTTAGTTAGACATACAATATTGTAATAAGAGATGAGAAGGCATGGCGGGGGAAATAACTGGGCGGAAAGCCAGCATTTCAAACTAATTGGAGAATGTGATTTATGACTGTTAGTTGTAGGAGGGAATTGTGCTTTGATCTATGTGCTGAAGGGAGGGGAAGTCTGATTTTGGCTTCATACTATGCTGCTCGATTAAAGATTCTTTAAGGTAAACAATGCCTCAAAGTTCTTTGAAGAGTTTCATCTTTCGGAACCACGACAGCTGCTGGTCTTTGTAACACAGGAGTCCCTAACCCCTAGTCCGTGGAAAGACACCGGTCCACAGCATGCCAGAAACAGGGTCCGTGCAAACAAGCAAAGCCCCATCCGCAGGATGCAGGCAGCACGCAAAACCACAACCCCTCTCCAATCTGCGAAAAAACCGCTCTTCATGGAACCGGCCCCTGGTGCCCAAAAGGTTGGGGACTTCTGTTGTAACAGAGTTGCCAGGCGTGGTGGGGTGGACAGCAGGTCCGGGCCTCCACCACCCCGAGGCATCCCTGCGTTCCCCTTAATGACCCACACGATTGTTTAACAAGGGCAATTGATAGAGCCAGGATGGCAGTCACTGAGCAAAGTGGTCACGCGAGTGTCTTGCGTAACAATCACCTCACTCAACAACCAAAATTCTACTTTCAGGTGTGGTCATAAGTCCCAAATTTCCTGCAGGTGTTTGTATATTACACATATGTACACGTGCTCTATGTATAGAGCAGGGGTAGGTAACCTTGGCTCTTTTATGACTCGTTGACTTCAACTCCCAGAATTCCTGAGCCAGCATGGCTCAGTTTGGAAACTTCTCTCTTTCCCCTCAGCATGGCTGGCTCAGGAATTCTGGGAGTTGAAGTCCACGAGTCATAAAAGAGCCAAGGTTGCCTACCCCTGGTACAGAGCAGGGATTCCCGACCATGGGTACTCGCACCCCCTGGGGGTGTGAGACAATATCCCAGAGGGTGCGAAAACTTGGATTTTCAAAATTATAGTGTATACGCATAATTTGTTGCTGTTATTTCAATCTTTTGTAAGGGATGCGAGAATATATCAGAAGTGTTCTAGGGGTGCGGGGTATAGAAAAGGTTGGGTAGAGAGATTTGCATATTTAAATGATGTACACATGCCTGCTTTTGGCATAGAGATTTGCACATTAAAATTATGTACAAAGGCTCTGTGCATATATAAAGAAACTGGACTGAGAGATCGGCAGTCCTTTTAAAAATAAGGTTTACAATAAATGGGGATAGATAAATGGTCCCAAACACACATATAATAAATAAATATTGACCTTACCAACTCATTTCAATGACTTTATAAAGCAGGGGTCTTCAAACTTGGCCTTTTTATGACTTGTGGACTTCAACTCCCAGAATTCCTCAGCCAGGCACGTGTGCCTGGCTGAGGAATTCTGGGAGCTGAAGTCCACAAGTCATAAAAGGGCCAAGTTTGAAGACCCCTGTTATAAAGGTAAGAGATTTCTTTGACTATGCAAGGATTATCCAGCTGTTTTACAGGTAATTCTTGTTTTAATACTGCCAGTGCTTACGGTTTCACAGTTCAGACATCTTGTTTCATTGGTCAAAGTTCCCTGAAATATCTCGTGCACCCAGGTCAGCTCCTGTTTGCTGTTCTCTTCTGCTTCGTTCACGTTTCCATTTTTCAATTTGCCATTTTGCTTTTCCTGCTTCTTCTCCTCTTGTAGAATGTCGGCAACAGTGTTTAGTAAGTAATTCAAAAATTCGTGAGCATCCTGCTGCATGTAGTTGTCAAAAAGATCTATTGAAAAAAAAAGAGGAAAGGACGTATGCCGATTTATTTATGCAAAAGATGGCTAGAGCCCACCATTTTGTTGTGCACACAATTCTGGGCTGATAAATAAATAAAACCAATACAGAAAGAAAAGAGCGAAAGGAATAAAAATAAATCATAATTAAGAAAAAAATAGATGCCCCAAACTATACCCGTTTATCTCTTCAGTCCCCAGGTTTTAATTTTCAATCCTAGGGCCAGTTCCTAAGGCTGTGGATGGCACTGGGAGTCAGGACAGTTAGCAAATGTGAGGATCCTAACAGCTGTCGCTTCATGGCAGATGATGAATTCTGTACAGGATGCCTTGAGGTCTCATGGTCATTCCAGGAAGTGCTCCGAACGAGGCAACTCCTGAGCGAAGGACATTTTTCACAGCAGACGAAAGAAACCTCTAAGCCAGGGGTCTTCAAACTTGGCCCTTGTATGACTTGTGGACTTCAACTCCCAGAATTCCTCAGCCAGCGTGCCTGGCTGAGGAATTCTGGGAGTTGAAGTCCACAAGTCATAAAAGGGCCAAGTTTGAAGGCCCCTGGTCTAAGCCACTTTATGTGGGGGTCAAACATGGATTTGTTCCTGCTAAGATTTGTCCCAACAGGGATCCAAAGAGAGAACTGGGTTCTAGCATAATTTGTTGCTCAGTTCTTCTTCTTTTTTTTAAATTCCAACTGTATGCAATAAAGAAAACTGGACTCAAACATGCCACCCAATGAGAGACAATGCAAAACTCTCCCTCTGTCGACCCTCCTCAAAGAGCATTGGGGAAGAGGGGCCCTGGGACCCCAAAGATAGGAAAGGCATAAATTGCAGCTCTTTGGAAAAACAGTTACTCCCTGCCCTTGAATTTCTCATCCGCTCTAGCCTAGCTGGTGCACAGATTTAAAACCATCAAAGTTGGCTGAGGCCGCACAGGTATCAATACTAATGCTGAGCCAGTTTGGCATGGTGGTTAAGGCACCAAGCTAGAAACCAGGAGATCGTGAGCTCTAGTTCCAGCTGGGTGACCTTGGCCTAGTCACGACTGCCTTGGCCTAGGCCAGGCGTAGGCAACCTGGGCTCTTTTGTGACTCGTGGACTTCAACTCCCAGAATTCCTGAGCCAGCATGGCTCAGCTTGGAAACCTCTCCCTTTCCCCTCAGCATGGCTGGCTCAGGAATTCTGGGAGTTGAAGTCCACGAGTCATAAAAGAGCCAAGGTTGCCTACCCCTGGCCTAGGGCCTAGGCCGCTTTATGACTCGTGGACTTCAACTCCCAGAATTCCTGAGCCAACATGGCTCAGCTTGGAAACCTCTCCCTTTCCCCTCAGCATGGCTGGCTCAGGAATTCTGGGAGTTGAAGTCCACGAGTCATAAAAGAGCCTACCCTTGGCCTAGGCCATCGCCAGGCTTCAAAAAAACTGGCTTGAGGGAACACACACAACAACAGTCTATGGAGATTTTCAGTCACCCAGGTCACAGTTATCCCAAAGGTGATTTTTCACGAGGCAACTGGACTTTCTTGTTTTTCTTTCAAGACGTTTTGCTTCTCATCCAAGAAGCTTCTTCAGCTCTCAGAACTCCACAGAGCTGAAGAAGCTTCTTCGATGAGAAGTGAAACGTCTTCAAAAAAAAACAAGGAAATCCAGTTGCCTCGTGAAAAAGCACCTTTAGCACCCAACAACTGGGCTGTAAAAGCACAGGGAACTGCTATTTGGCAGGAAAGTAAAAGCTCCATTCCCTCCCACTAGTAGCCATCCAGATTTTTGCAGCTCAGGTATGGTGTGTGTAAACTGTGTGACAGGTATCAGACAGCAACCTGAAAAGTAACGGGGGCGGAGCCACTGACCATCGGCTTGACTAGCCTGGATCTACACGTACCGTTCTCCTTCCGTAGCCTTGAGATGAATTTTTTGGGAGGGATCACCCCAACTTTCTTCTTCTGTGTAGCAATGCTGTGGAAAAGGTCTGCTAGACAAGTCAAGAGGTTTTCTTTTTTTTTCTGCTGGGCCTTATACGCCAACACATTTTCTCGAAACGGCCGGCAGAAGTACAGGGCTTGCAGGACGGAGTTACAGTAGCATGTGTTGCCAAACTGCAAATAAGCATACGGAGAAGCGAGGTAATGCAACAATCTGAGTATTAATCCAGCTTGCTCTTTATTATCCTACCACTGCCAATCATTGCTCAAGGAATCAGTTAATGAATTGAGATTACAGGTGTCTTAACTGCCATCTGATTTGGCATTAAATGCCCATTTAGGTTTGATTTGGCAATCCAATGGCAATTGAGTTGCCCTCCATTTTGATTCAAAGGGTTCTTAATGAATTAGTAAATGACCTTGCTGTCCTTTCAGACCTTCACAGGTCTGTGGAGATTCTTAGTCATCCAGGTCATGATTGTCCCAAAGCTGCTTTTTTTTCAAGAGGCAACTGGACTTTCTTGTTTTTCTTTGAAGATGTTTCGTTTCTCATCCAAGAAGCTTCTTCAATTCCGACTGGATGGTTGGGAATGGAAGGATTTATATTCTTCCCAGACAGCAATTTTTTTTTGCACTACTCAGGTGACCCTGAGGACAAGGGGAAACTCCCAAGTGGCCTCAACGACTCTCTAAAACAGTGTTTCTCAACCTTGGCAACTTTACGATGTGTGGACTTCAACTCCCAGAATTCTCCAGCTAGCAACACTAGCTGGAGAATTCTGGGAGTTGAAGTCCACATATCGTAAAGTCGCCAAGGTTGAGAAACACTGCTCTAAAAGAATGCAAACAACCAGCTGTCTGCAAGCAATATAAATCCTTCCACTCCCTACCATCCAGTCAGAAGCTGAAGAAGCTTCTTGGATGAGAAGTGAAGTGTCTTCAAAGAAAAAGAAGACAGTCCAGTTGCCTCTTGAAAAAAACACCTTTGGGTTAAGTACAGTATGGCTTTTTTTGCAAGGACATGAGAATGCAGTTTCCATATATACGTCTACATCAGACATGTCAAACTTGCAACGTCACGTGACGTTGCGCAACGTATCGGGCCGGTTTTACCATTGCCGGCAATGGGGTGGGCGCGGCTTCTGGATGACGCATCCGGCCCACGGGCCGCCAGTTTGACACCCCTGGTCTACATCCACTATCTTAATTGCACTGATCCACATTTAGCCAAACCCCTTTACCAATTTGTAACAGAATCTTAAACTTGCAGGCAACCCCCGGTCCTATGTTAACCTTCATTCCAGCAAATTTACCTTTTGCAAAGGACGATACACTCTCACGTGTCCCTGTTTCCCAGCCCAGTTTTTGTCAGTTATGCTGCCTACTAACTCCTCTGATCCTCAGCCACCTTGGCTAAAGGATTGCTACTAAGGAAGAGAGGGGTTGATATCTAAATATCTGCAGGGCATCAAATTAGGGAAGGCAGGATGGAGTAATAATACTTACGTTGACCAGCCCAAAGTAGTGTTCATTAAGTGGAAATTGCTCTGGCCCAATGTCTTTTTCCAGAGCAGAGGCATTGGTGCCCTGAGGAGAAAGAAAGAACATTATTCTCTCACTAATTCAAATAGGATCAGAGAGGGGAAAAATGCGTTCCAGGAAGGACTGTTTTCTTGCTTCGCCAAAAATGGCACATTATGACTCTCACAGACAATGCTTCAGAGAGCTATGCATACTCACACCCTCCCCTTTACTCCACTGGTGGCCTGAGGTTGCTGCAAAAGTTATGAATGCTCTCCTCCTTTTGATGCCCCAAAAGATGGTCTTCAAAAAAAAAACTCACAAAGGCGCTTTTCATCCACATCATAACCATAAAGCGCACAGGAAATGCTACCAATTGTAAATTAGAAGGAGAGCACGAGAGCCATTCTTTCTGAAGAAAGAAACTGGAATAAATCATGAAGGAAGATGGTTTATTTGCCTGCCCTCCCCAACCAAATCCATTAACCTGCCATCAATCATTTCCCAGAACAACACAGCAAAAATAAACACTCCCCCAGTTTTACTGATGCTATCCAGGTTTATTTAGTTTTGTAATCTTATCAAACTGTTTCCTATCTACTATTTCAGTTTGCCTAAGTTGCAAGGGCAGAAAAAGGGGAATGGGATGTTTTTACTTGCTTAGATTAAGAGAGAGACTCTGATTTCTCTCCCTCCCCAGTAAAGAGAATGTTTTCAGAAGAACTGAATGGCAGAACGAGAGTGAAACCAGATCATTACAGAAAGTGCGCAGGCTTTAAAAAATAAAACCAACTTGCCTGTAGGGGGGAACTCGTAATACAATTTCAGCTTGCTGTCAGAATTTTATCTATTTAGGCTATCCAAGATTTTGTATGTGTCATTCTTTCCAGAATGTCTCACCTGGCCTCGTGCACAAAGTAAGGAAGATGACCCTGATGGAGTTATATCCACTCCATTGCCCAAGTGAGGAGTCAAGACATATTTTAAGTACACAAAAACTGGATAGTATTTGGCTCAGGCAGGTATCTCCCTAGCTGTCTGAACTAGCATTAGAAGGAGGATGAGGTATAATACAATCAGGCTTGCAAGATTCTGTTATTATAGCCACTCTTGGTAAAAGTAATGTTAGCCACTTGTGGAGTTGATATCTGAGCC